GCCTCATATCATTTTTGTGCACTGTATTTTTTGTTTTTTTTGGATCCATGGGACCTCAGCTTCCGGCCTCTAGCCTATTCTAGTCGCGGCGCTCGGCCCCCTAGCCTGTCCTAGGCTCAGCGCTTGGTCCGCCAAACTCAGCGCTCTGCCCAGATATTATCCTAACATAACCTTATCATAATATAATACAGAAAATATTTCGTTAGTTGTAATTTAGGTCATGCACTAAATTGGCAGAAGGGGAAGGGGTGGGGGTCAAACAATTTTAAACTAGGACTGAACCCGACCCTCTAGTCTGTCCTAGCTCCAGCACTCGGCCCCTGCCCTAGATCAAGTCGTAGCGCTCGGCCCAGAAATTATGTTAACCTAAATCTGAATAAACTACGAATAGTACTTCTATTCTTTAGAATTATAAATAAACTAAAAGGCGCAGTATTGGGCTATTGAAGCTGTTGAGGTTTAAGTTCAGTTAGATAATCATGACTTTTTTTCAGTGAAAGAGATTTTAGTCGAGAATGAATTTAGTGAACTTTATGTCAGTATTCTTCCAGCTATCCTCGCTATCATCACCGTCAACATCATCATCATACTCTTCATCATCAGCGCGTTCAGGAGGGAAGGGGCAGCCCTTCAAAACCATTCTGATTTGTCCAGCAGTCGGTTGAAAAGAGAATGAAAAATCTATGGATAAAAGGATCTTAGATTATTTATCAAATTGAATATGAAGTCAAGTTCTAAGCTTTTTCCTATATATTTTAAGTATGTACAAATGAGACGCGATGGAAAAATTATTAATACATTGATTCATTTAATTTTGATATTCAAATTGTTTCGGTTTTTGTTGAAAAGAAACACGGATCCGTTGAAGCATTGATGTTTTGTTGTTGTTGCATTTTTAAGCAGTATTCTTTACGTGTACGGTACTGTACACGTAGTGATCTTTGCTGAGTACATTTAATGTACTGGTTAAATGTATCGTACTTTGTACATGCAATAAACTGTACTCTGTACCTGACATTTTTAGTTCTGTCTTGTATAGTAAAAAGTACACTGTACAGTGAGCATCTATAAACACATAGTCAGGGATAAAAATCGTCCTGAATTTTCTCTCACACAAGAAAGATCTAAGTTTACAAAATTAGAAAAGGTAAATTCTTGGAATAAGAAGAAGAAGTGAATAGTAGACTTCAGGATGATATTCACCCCAATATATACTTTTTATTTATTTGTAATTTATTCTTAATTTGTGTATTACAAAAAATACTTCAGCATTTATTTGATTGTTTCGTGATAATTTCAGAACGGAATGCATGGCGCGCCGACAGTTTAAGAAACCTTTGATCACACGAATTATTGATTCTGTTCCAGCACTGGAATAAATGTATCCGGATCCAGGTTATTTCTTTGAAATTTGCTGAATTTTTTAACCAAGTATAATTTTTAAATTTGTTGTCTTATTTTTAAGCTAAAACTTGATGAACCATTCAGAAATCAGGAATTTTTTACAATCTATCTTTTTTCAGTAGTTCAGATTTGGGTTTTGAAAATAATTTTTTTTTGCAGTATTTTTGTTTATATTTTTCCCAATTCCCAATTCACGCTTAGGATCCATTTAATTTTGATGCGGATCCGGATCCTGGATACGCACTGGAAAAAATTGATCCCGATCCAGGTTATTTCTTTAAAATTTATTGGATTTTTTTTTTCAAGCAGAATTTTCAAATTTTTTGTCTTATTTTTATGCTAAAACTTAATGAACCATTCAGAAATCAGGAAATTTTTACTATCTTTTTTTTTAATAGTTCAGCTTTGGGGTTTGAAAATATTTTTTTTTTTGGTTGATATTTTGCCCAATTCCCAATTTACGCTTAGGATCCATTTCATTTTGATGCGGATGTGGATCTTGAATCCGCACTGAAAAAAATTGATCCAGATTCTTTCTTTAAAATTTACTGAATTTTTTAACAAAGCAGAATTTTCAAATTTTTGTCTAATTTTTTTCGCTTATTTTTATGCTAAAACTTGCTGAACCATTCAGAAACTAGGAAATTTTTACAATATCTTTTTTTAATAGTTTAGATTTGGGGTTTGAAATAAATTTTTTTTTGCAGTTTATATTTTGCCCCTTGAATCCGGATACCTGGATCCGCATATTTCTGCGGATCCAGGAAGCCAATATCTTGCGAATCCAACGGATCCGGATCCTAAGCAGTGCTTTTAAACTTTTGACTGGTAAAGTTTGTGATCCTTGAATCAGTCAAAGGTTTATCTTTGAAGGTCACTTGAAATTACGCTTTCATTCCCTTTTATAAGGGTTTCATAATACATATTTTAGTTGATTTTTGCAGGTTCTTACCGTTCTTCTTTGTTTTCGGCGGAGCTTTGGAGTTTTCTATGATAAACTGGACAGGAAGGATTTAAATTGTTTTTTAAAATGAGATATGTTATTAAAAGTGATGTTACTACTTGTATATTTTACAAAATACGTATAAACATACATTTTTAAATCTTTATAAATGTAGTTGGGGAAACTAACTTCTACAAAACATTCAAGAAAAGACAAGGTAAATTTGATAACGAAGGAAACTACAAAATATGAAAAGTTCGAAGAAGTGTAAAGTAGTTATTTTACACACAAAACAAATCTACTTAATTTTATGTGACAAATCATTTAAGTACGACCATCAATAAGTTCCCTATTAAACTTATTTTTAGAAACAGTTTTTTTCTAAACAAAAATATCTAAAATCTCAAAGTGACACCCCGACTTTATCACATTTTTATGAACAATCAAGTATCGGCATTCGGCAATAAGGCTGGCAAACTATTTGATAAATATTAACGGATCAAGCAGCTGATCCATATTTCACATGACAGATTCGGATCAATATTTTAACATGACAGATTCGGATCAATATTTTACATGACAGATCCGGATCCATATTTTACATGACAGATTCGGATCCATATTTCACATGACAGATCCGGATCCATATTTTAACATGACAGATTCGGATCAATATTTCACATGACAGATTCGGATCAATATTTTAACATGACAGATTCGGATCAATATTTTACATGACAGATTCGGATCAATATTTCACATGACAGATTCGGATCAATATTTTACATGACAGATTCGGATCAATATTTCACATGACAGGTCCGGATCTATATTGTACATTCGGATCCAGGATCCGGATCCATATTTTACATGACAGATTCGGATCAATATTTTACATGACAGATCCGGATCAATATTTTACATGACAGATTCGGATCTATATTTTACATGACAGATTCGGATCTATATTTTAACATGACAGATTCGGATCNCTTTTACCTACGTTAAGTTTGCCACAGCTGCTCTTCTATCTATGCTAGCAGGTGAACTCCTTAAAAAACAACTTTTTAGTTTGTATACTTTGTTGAGGGGAGGGTTGGGGGATAAAGGTGAAAGGAAATGATTTTAGCCGCTTTGGGGGTAGAAAGGGAACTTTAGCAGATATTATTTTTTACCTTTGAATTCGTTTTCTAAGAAGTTTATTTCTTTTCACAAAAATCTTATTTTTCAAAAAAATAGATAGTAATTAGTTCCCAAACCACAAGTAGATTTTATCTAATTAATTTTATCTTATAATTCTGAAACGATGAACACAGAGTTCTTTTCTCCCGTATTTCACTTTATTTAATAAATCTATAATATAAAGCCAAATAATGTTACCATCTTGTGCTTCCTAGTTCTCAATAGTTCTTACTCCTCAGGGTATTCTAAGTATTGGTGGAAAATCTGCGTCCTCAATGGAAAAGTGAATATGGTTTTTTAAAGACTTACCATTTATAATGTGGCATGTCCGACTCGTAACGGTATCCTAAAGAACTTTTTCTGATTAAACATACATTAGATATCTAGATTTTAATTATCTTCTCTTTGAAGGTTGATTATATTTCTATTGGAGTTTCTTTGTAATATGATTTGCACCTTTTTTGCTTCAGAAAGAAAATGAAGAAAATTTTCAAAGCCAAAAACATTTCAAGCAAAAAAACTGATTTTGATAAAATGAAGGTTTAAGGGTACCGTGGGTTTTAGGTGCGTCCAAAGTCGTGGATACTTTTCTGCATGGATATAATAAAGCCTTTTGCTCATATATGTATATATATAAAAATATGTATATGTATGTGTATATATATATTTACAGATCATCTAGAATAAGTCTTCTCCCTAGGGTGTAAACCCCGTGGATACGTTGTTTCGACGGTTAGGAGCGCCGACCCCTATTTCATTGAATGATGGGTTGTCCTTTAATAATAATAATAATAATAAATATATATATACGATATGTTAGCGATAGCTGGCCAAACGGCTGGACCAATATGGCTTGAGTCAAAAGGCAACGCCTGGCACTTCTAGCTTGTATATAATAAAATATGAAAACATAATCTTGGCAGCTAATACTAGAACATGTACCCTAAAATATTGAATATATCTAGGTTCCCAAACAGTTCATCTATACTACCGACCCCTGGAGGACCTGGAACAGCTGGTTAAAACATTTGAAGAAAACAATAAGAAGCTACAGCTGACTAAACAAGTTTTGCAACAATCAACACAATCAGATTCTGAAACAAAATAAACCTACGTCTTCCAATCTGGTGGAAAATATTGAAACTCTAGAATAGAAAGAACCCAGGAATAGTATTTAATTCATTCTTAATTGAGATTAGGTTCGCTTTGTGTCGCGTCTTATCAATTTTGATTTCTTTCTTTTTCTAATAGATATATTATTAAAAAAAATATTGTAAAGCAGGACCTGTAGATATTAAAAAAGTTTAAGGTTTTTTATTGAATTTTTTAACTCTAAGTTGGATAAAGTTGTTTTTAAATAATTTGAGGTTACTGTTTATCTGACATAAAAAAATATATTATTGCATATTCACAGGGATGTATATTTTCCCGAAAAATCCTTCCCTCTTCCCCTATCTTTGAAAATATTTCTTTATTCCCGTACCGTTCTACAAAAAAAGCTCAATACTGTTGTACATAAAAGCTAAATTCTGTTGTACATAATAGCTATTTACTGTTGTACATAAAAGATACAAACCGATGTACATAAAAGCTAAATACTGTTGTACAGGATCCAGAGGATGCCGATCTATAAATATTTTGGCGCTGCTGCCAAGTATCATGGGAAACCATTGTTCCATATCCTTTCAAACCTCAAGGAAACAAGATTCAATCAAAAAATCCAACAATAGAGCAATCAATCAATTGATATCTGTATCAATTATCCAATCAGACCAATTTGAAGCAAATCAATAACCGCACTAAAATTGGATATGGGGAAATAAAATAAATACCGTTTATATTTTTTACCCCAATTACTTATTTTTAAATATTTTTATAACTGTATTTGTACTTAAACTGTTATTTATTAGACACCAATAATATTATTTTAAAAAGAGGTATAAATAGTAAAACTTAGTATTATTCAAATAAATCTTTGCTTGATCATTACATTAATCCGTAGGTCTGCTTACTCCTGAGTTTCAAAACACAAAAGTTCTGACCTTTGTTCAGACAACGCTTCCATATATTTCGTCATCGTGTTGTTTGAAGAATCTGTTTTGAATTCAGGAGTTTGGAAAAGGACGAATAATTAGCCGTGCAGGGTTCAAGGATGAGAAACCATCCTTCTACAGGTTTGATTTCTTTTCACACTTTCTTCAAAAAAGTTTTTAACATTTTTTAATGTGTTTTTTGGGAAAACATGTAATTTTTGGGGTAAAAAGTGCTGAAAACGCTTCAAAAATTAACCCTGCAATATTTGTATGTAAAAAATAGTTGTCCCGAAAAAAAGGAGTACAAATATTTCTGCTTAAACATTCCCTAAAATTTGTTTATTTTACCCCGAAAACTGAAGCCAGCTTTTTAAATCATTAAAGCTTAAAACACGAACACAATAAGAAACTTTTAGGGGGGGGGGGTCATTTATAGAGAAAATGTTTGCCCTGAAAGCTTTCAGTAGCTTGGAATCATTTTGCACGAAGGAGTGAGCATTGAGTTTGTGAAAGTTTTTCATCTATTTTTTCTTGAAACTAATATTTGTATTTTAGAAATGAAGAAAAATAGATTGAAAAGCTTAGCAAGGGGGGGGGGGTGAATTAAACAATAAAATGTTTATTATTTACTCTGAAAGCTCTTAGTAGCTTAGCTTAGTAGCAAAATCATTTTGCATGGAGAAGTGAGCATTGAGTTTTTGTAATTTTTGATCGATTTTTTTTCTGAAACTAATATTTGTATTTTTAGAGTATTATTTGCTCAGCCCTTAATGGATTCTAAGAGTGAAGAAGGTCGGGTAATTGTAGAAAAGGTAAGTTAAACATTTTCTCTCGGATAATTGATATTAAAGACCTATTAGAATACACCTTGAAACGTAAGTTCAAGTACCTCTCTGTATAAAGAGTGGTGTGTCCGATTCACACGGTATTCATTGGATCGTAAAAAATTGATTATTTTCAAATATTTAAGTCTGGATTTCTGCTTCAGAAAACATGAAAGATTTCGTCAGAATTAAAGAAATTTCAAAATAAATGCAGCTCTTAAAATGTAGGTTGACTTGAAATTACAAGGCCAGTCCCTCAGACGGTTGTTCGCCATTTTTTACTTGATGAAAGATGACCTCTTCTCTTTGTTTTTTACTTGATAAAAGACGACTTCCTCTCTGTGTTTTTTACTTGATAAAAGACGACCTCCTTTCTCTGTTTTCTACTTGATTAAAGACAACCTCTCTGTTTTTTACTTGATGAAAGACGACCTCTTTGTTTTTTACTTGATGAAAGACGACCTCCTCTCTTTGTTTTTTACTTGATGAAAGACGACCACCTCTCTGTTTTTTACTTGATGAAAGACGTCCTCCTCCCTCGTGTTTTTAACTTGATAAAAGACGACCTCCTCTTTCTGTTGTTTTACTTGATGAAAAACGACCTCCTCTCTGTTTTCTACATGATGAAAGACGACCTCTCTGTTTTTACTTGATGAAAGAGGACCTCCTCTCTCTTTTTTACTTGACGAAAGACGACCTCCTCTCTATGAACGGGTAATCTGAGGTGGAAAAGCCTCTCTTCCTTTGTTACCTAGGGGAGTAAATGTCAAAGTTATATTAATTCTAAAAAACTTACATATTTCTAGACTGGTTTCTAAACCAAATAGATCAAATTCGTCAAATACATAGATTGCTGTTAAAGTAATTGCTTTTTTACAACATACTTTTATCTAAAATGTTTTAGTTTTATGGCTGATAAATTATTTCTATTAATATACTTACATGCACTTTTGTATCTTTAATGGTATTTATGTACTGTAGGTTAGAAATGGAGTGAAGTACACTAAACCTGTGGATCTGTCAAACATTGCCCCACTTCCAGATTTTATTCTCATCCCTAGAACTCAGGAAGAAGAATTTTGCAAGGTATTGGCATACTTTTTCATTTTGATTATTTAATTACTTAATTACTGATGGTTTGCTCAAATAGATCAATAAACACAATAAAAATTATTTTTTGGGGTAAATTATTATTTTTGAATTTTGAAACTGAAAAGCTTTTAAAGCCTTTTAAATATTTGTTTTCTCTCAACATTTAATTTCCTCCGTAAGTTATATTTTAGTCAACATAACCCTGTACTGTACAGTGTACAGTATAACGTCTGTGCACGGATGAACATTTGTTAAATAGATGCGTGCTGTAGCCTTTTTTCCATTACAATGTGTCCCGTGAGCAATAATCTAAATGTTTAGCTCAATATCTCTAAAATTATCGAATATAATCGCGGCTAAAGTTTTAAAAAACCATATATAGCTCAATAGTTTCATGCTCTTTGTAATTGTAATTTGAGATTATTTTAGACAAATTTCAAAAATTGACTGAAATTAAATTAAAATAAACCTCCTAAACGTACTTTTCTAAAAAACAAGCATTTTTTTGAGGGATTTTGGATCCGAGTTCTCTGATAAAAAAAAACCAAAGAAATTGATATTCAACATGAATTATCTAATAAAATTAAAGAGCTATCGAACTGAAATTTTCAAAAATTATTCACTATGTAGTTCAATGGAAAAATATTCCGTGTCAATTGCGCACGCCATTTGTCAAAATTAATAATCTTTGTGGACATTTTAACGTACAATGTACATGTTTGTTCATTTTCTNAAATATTTAAATAAATGGATATTTCTATTAATATTAAAGTTTTGAAATATGTTTTTTTAATTGCGTTAAACAAATTAATTTGTTTCAGAATTTACCTTATTTGGACTTTTTCGGAAACAAGTATTCAACCATATTCTATTTTTCCGGTCGAAATGTTCTTATTATTTACAAACTAACAAGTCTCTATGTCAAGTTTACTAATTATTTATATATTTATTTTTCATAACTAATCTAAACCATTGGTTCTAGTGGTCTGAGTTACGTGAATACAGTCCAGAGAAGGATATTGTGGTTGAACCTAAATATTACACAATGCCTCCTCTTCTCAGGTATACTCGAACTAAATAGAGAATAAAGATCCAAACAGTTACAAAAATTAAGCATCAATTTTCAAGACCGGGTCGACGTTAAAGTGAAGTGGTTTTTGAGTTTACCCTTCTAACTTACACACACGTTTTCTTGTAGCCATTACCATGTACATTGTATAATGCATATTGTATAACATTGTACAATGCTTGTTTTGGAACCACAATGAGCTTAATTCTGAGTTAATTTTTCTTAGTTTGAAACGAGTAAGAAAATCCTGATATTTTTGCTCATTGGAACTTGACTCTGACTTCCTCCTATGAAACTGTTAGCCAGGGCAGATTAAAAACCTCTTAAACCATGATTCCCAAAAAAAATTCCTGCCGTATCCTGATATTTAATCTTCGGAAATGTTGAAGTTTTCAAAAAAATCGTTTGAGATTCTTGGCAAGCTGTAAAGTAGGTCGTTTTCTTGGCATATCCTAAAGAGAAAAAAGAGAATATTTCTTGCGTATTTTCTGCCTATATCATAAATGTTATTTTATAGTATATCAGTTTCTTTAAGATTAAAAATTTTAAATTTTAAATAAAAACTCTAATATTTTTTGAAGTTTTTTTTTATAAATTTTGCTGAAATAAATATATTGATATTAAATTAATATGTTTACAGCATGTAATGGGAGGTTGTAAGTAAAAAAATGCACAAAAACTTAAATAATAATTGTTAAAGGTAAAAAATAAACCATCATCATCAGAAGGTGAAGGGGGAGGCGTTGTCTCTCCGGGACAGGACTTAAACAAATTTTCTGATTTTGACACGGGAGTTGGGCAGAGGGACTTCCTAATTTAAAAAATTCTGATTTAAGAATATTCTAGATTATTGATGGAGAGAGAAATGTCAAAGCGCGGAGAAGACTTGTCTGAGGATAAATTCCTTCTTCCTCATTTTAAAACCTTCCAGAGAAAGGTTGGTGCTCCTTTAGTTCGCCAGTTTTAGTGCTTAGGATTAGGATTCTGATATGCGAATATGCGAATCCACGGATCCGGATCCAAGGGCAACCAAAAACTGCAAAAAAAATTTCTTCTCTCGAAACTCAGATCTGAACTGTTGAAAAAAGAGAGATTACTAAAAATGTCCTTATCTCTGAATAGTTCATCAAATAAGTGAAACGAAAGAATAACTATATTCTAAAATTCTTCTGTTAAAAAACTCCGTAAATCTTAAATAAATGTTCATGGCCTGGATCCGGATCTTTTTTCCAGAGCTTATCCAGGATCCGGATCCGGATCTTGGACCCGCATCCTGGATCCGGATCTTGGACCCGCATCCTGAATCCGGATCAAAATTAAATGGATCCTAAGCGCTGGGTCCCAGTTCTACAGTTTTATCGGATTTAAAGAGAAAATCCTTGTTCTGTCTTAAACTTTCTGAATTAAACAAGCTAGACAAACGTCAATAGCATTTTTGATTACTTTTTTGTCGTTCCTCCCAGGACATACTGGAGAGTTGATCTTTCCTTTAGCAGACCTAGAGCTATCTTATTCTCCATCTGTTTTTGCTAAAATGATTAAATGGAGTTTAAAGTCGAGAAAGTCCCGCTTTAAATGAAAAGCCACTTAAACTTATAGAAACAGTCTCTTTGAAGGGAATCTAAGTGAAATTTCAAGTAGCCCTCCATGAGAAGATTACAATGTCCGATTCACAACGGTACACTTGAAACCTTAATCTGATAAAAAATGTGAAAGTTACCGTCGTTTTTTCACCATTGCTCCTTAAAAGCAATAAATTCTCAATTCAATTTTGCAAAGAAACTACAAATGAAAATAAACAAAAGAATGTTTATCTAATTCATAAAAAGCTTTAAAGGGTACCGTTGAAAATCGGACATTGTCATTTTTACATGGAGGGCTACTTGACAGTCCCTTTAAGTGTATAAACGCCTGATAAGCTGTTGTGTGAAGGATTGTGATGTTCTGGAGGATGGTCGGGTAGAGAAATATCAGGAAACTGTTACAAGGTAGTATCTTCAAAGCTGGAAACTCTTGAATTGTGGATATTCAAGATCAATGCTTGACCTTCTCTTTTTGGTTAATCTGCAGATTAGTTTAACGTTTATTTAATAATTGTTATCCAGGAAAGTGTCTAAAATTCAACCAATCAGAGTATTGTTTGTATAAATTGTCAGCTAAATACATTTATTTCATTTATTGTTATTATTATTATTAAAGTTTATTTCGTACACAATAAAGGAACAAAAGATACAAACAAAGATAAAAACATTACGAGTTGTACAGTACATACATATTATTTACATACTTTAATACTTACTTACATAATACGTATATTCTTAAATACTTAAATATTTAAAAAAAAAATTAAATGAAAAACATTGTAGTTAGCTCAACCTGATGCATATTCGAGTATTTAACGCGGGTGAGGTCGGTGTCGTGGATCAGTTCATCCCCCACATAGTTTTAATATCCCCTTCAATACAATTGTAGACCTTAATGACAATGTAATTGATGAAATTTGATTTGAAAAACGTATTAAAAAGTATCAATTTCTCGAATAATTGTTTATTGTTAGATAAATATTATATTATATCATATCGTAAAAATTATATTTTGCGGTTTCCTGCCATACAAATACATTTTCAAATTAAATGAGTCATTTACTCTCATTGAAATTAAATCCAATGGGAATTTGAATCCCAAGGGGTTTAAATTTCCATTGTTTTATTTATCTAGGAGTAAATGACATTCCTTTGTAAAAAAGATGGTTTTAGCCAACGAGGTTTTAGTGTAGAGTGTTGATGTACGCTAATCCTTTACTAATTATATAGGCCATCAACCATACCGAGAGCGTACTGCATATTTGTTTATTATAAGTTGATTCTGGTCTAACCTAAAGTATATCAATATTAGTAAACAGTTGTAAGTGTACAGTACAGCTAACTGAGCACACAGGTAGAGAACTATCATCCCCCCTGGTTTTATCATAGACCCGCTTAAGCAAGATTAAGATTAGCAGGATATAAATTGTTCCGAACCAAAACTAGCTTTTTAAAGGCATGCGTGATGATTTTAACATTGGTTAATTAGTGGTAATGTTACATCGTCTATTCGCAACATCCCCCTACTGAACTTCTGACCTACTAACTTTCCGACTACTGCAATATCGAACCTACGCCAGCTGTTTATTTTTGTATTATTTGAGGTTTAGGTTAGGTTAAGAAAATTTCTGGGCCGAGCGCTGCGGCTAGGATAGGCTGAGGGCCGGGCGCTGCGCCCACAAGTTCTTGTAGCAGCTGTAAAACCTCGCGCTAATAGGTCGGATGTGTAGCATAGCGGATTTGGCGTAGGTCGATAAATACACCATCTTAATTAGTGTCTAACACTGTCCTAAACGGATAAAAACGTTATGATTGTTGAACTAAAAGTTGTGCAATTTTAAACCTATTATTTGCAATAAAATATAATTTGATAAAGGTGTGAGGGAACTGCTAGCTATAGTTATGCGGATCAAGTCAGCAAAGAGTATAGTTACGGAGTACTTACTCCAGAGGGGGCAGACACAGTCCTAAAACGATTACCGGAAGAAGAACCTTTCCCGAAACCGGAAGTTGGTAAGTAAAGAAAAAGGGTGCTTAAGAAAGCATAATATTTTGAAGTCGCCTCATTTTTTAAAAGATAAAATATTTTGTTACATTACAACTAAACGTTTAAACTATTTTTTGAATTTTTAAGTTGTTGCTTTAATGATATTTTTTATCATATTTAAGATTTATATAGCGCAAGCCTACAACCTAGATTGAAGGTTTGACAGAGATGATTATTATTATTATTATTATATTCTCTATTAGAGGCTAAACTTTCAAAGTAAATATTAAAATTTTTAAGCGGATTACATAAGAGGGTTTTAAAAAAATCAATTTTGTTTTTAATTTTTGGCCAACTTTTTATTTTAGAAAAATCTTCAATTTAAAAACAGTGTTCTTAATTTTTTGATGGGCAGGGGGCAACTATATGTAAGAAAAACTGTCATCGTAGAGTTTTTTAAACAATTGTTAAAGAAACAGTATTTTTTATCGTTTTTTTTCTAAAAGCAGGCCCATTAATTTTTTTCAGAAATCTACGTTTTCTGTTTTTTGTTGATATTTTTGTTTTCAATCTTTTCTATAATTAACACATATTAATATTTGCTTTCCAAAAGTCGCAATAAAATAAATATTTTTACTATACATAGTTTATTCTTTATTTTTGAAAAATATGCCATAAGTCAGCTGATTTCAGTTCACACTACACTAGCGTACACTCAAAGTTTTGTTGGAATTTGAACACCATTTTAGAGATAAACACATTTGAGTTCTCTACCGTTAATGATAGGTTTTAAGGGCATCGTTGTAAATCGGGCCTTCTTCTTTTTTGCAAATTGAGGGTCAATTGGAATAACGCTTACATTCTGAAGTTGAGAGTTTCTTTATCTTAAACACTTATGTTAAATAGGTATGCGACTGACAAAGATACCCTGGAGTGATATGGAGAAAAGAAATCGAGAAGAAGCCAGAACTAGCTAGTCCCTCTCCGTGTCAACTCGTGTTTTCGTAGATTTTCCAGTTATTTTGCGGATTTTATTGCCAGCAAACCTAGCCTGTTATACAAGCATTGTACTTTGAGCATAAATATTTTCAGATGAAAGATGGCAGGCTACTTGTAACTAGGTTAATGGTGCTGGGATTTGGTGCATCATAAAAGCTTAAACAATGGATTATCTTAAGCTGACAGGAACTTGGTCTGATCAGATCAAGAACACACTTTCACATTACTATAAACAAATGAAAAGGTGAAAAATAATAACCATTACGTATTTAGTTTAATTATTTATTTGTTTGTTTTAGCTACTTGTGGTTCCTACCTTTTATCTCAGCATATGTTTGATCAACGTAGCAGGTTTATAGAAACTATTGGATTATTTGTCCTAACTGTCTTACTAACTTTCATTTTATGACGCTGGATTACAGGGTCCCATATAAGCATGCTTTAATGATGTATTTTTTTTAATTGAGATAAATAAAAGAATTTTGTAGTAAAATTAACGCCTTTCAGGGTATANATATTCCAGAGGCCGAATTTAAAGAATTTCAGCCGCGGCTTAAATCCGCCAAAACCCGGTTTAAATCAAGCGCCGGCTTAAATCTTGCAACATACAATTTTAAGTTGAACCAACCATATTTATGCCGCGGCTTAGATAAATTTAAGCCGCCGCTCAAATTCTTTAAATTCGGCCTCTGTTTTAAAGTTAAAACAAATGGGATAAATTGTGATTGATTTAAAAAACGTTATAATCTAAAAATATTTGTTCATATTTATTCATATCTAAATTCATATTTTTATATATTTTACATTTTTTATTTATAATTAATATTATCATTATTAAGATTATAAGTGTTCAACGATTTCAAAGATAATGCTCTGAAAAATTGGGCAGCTCTTGTATATGGATTTTATTGTAAGATAATGCTCTTGAATACTGGGTAGCTCTAGTATATGGATTTTATTGTTAAGATAAAGCTCTTGAATACTGGGCAGCTCTTGTACATGGATTTTATTGTTAAGATAAAGCTCTTGAATACTGGGCAGCTCTTGTATATGGATTTTATTGTTAAGATAATGCTCTTGAATACTGGGCAGCTCTTGTATATGGATTTGTTCTGACAGGTATTCATGGTTGACATAACCAATGACCATTTTGGTTGGTTTTTGGTTGGTTATTGGTTGAATTTTGGCAATGATATAGTCAAGCGGTAGCGGTTTAGGCATAGCTGTTGGAGTTTAGAATAAGAAATGAAAAAAATAATTATATTAATTTCATGTCTTCCACCTATGGAAACGCAAATATTTTAATACCATTTTGTTTAAATATAATTACATGTTCTTGACTGCGTCTAAGGACTAAGGAGCCTTGGCTAGATCTCAACCGCTCGTTTAACTGCTACCGCTGAGTTTGTTTCTCCAAAGTATATATTGTTATAATTTTGGTCATAATTAGATTATTGGATAGATAATTAATTCATCAATGGACAAATTGGTTTATAAATCGACTAATTTGTTTATAAATCGACTAATTGATTGATTAATGGACTAATTAATTGATCAATGGACTAATTGATTGATTAATGGACACATTTTTGGATTAATGGTCTAATTGATTATTAGAGGACTAGTTGATTTGTTGACTATTTGATTAATTAATGTACTAATTGATTTATTAGTAGAATTATTTTGTTGATTAGTAGACTTATTTGGTGCTTAATTAACTAATTGATTGATCATTGGACTCATTTGTTGATTTTTTTACTAATTGATTGATAATGGACTAATTGATTGATTAATGGACAAGTTGATTGATTAATGGACTAATTGATTGATTAAGGGACTAATTGATTGATTAATTATATTAATTGACTGATTAATGAACTAATTAATTGATAAGTGGACTAATTGATTGATTAATTGACTAGTTGATTAATTGATAGACTAATTTATTGATTAATGGAATAATTAACTGATTAATGGAATAATTAATTGATTAATGGAATAATTAATTGATTAATGGAATAATTATTGATTAATGGACGAATTAATTGTTTAATGAACTAATTGATTGATTGATTGATTAATTGATTGCTTAATTCTATTAATCGACTGATTAATGCACTATTTGATTGATAAATGGACCAATTGATTAAATAATAGACTACTAGATTGATATATTGATTTAGTTGATTCTTTTCAGGTTTATTTACTGTTTCTACCGTTTTCCATACTGTTGCAGCATTTAGTTCGAACAGGTATCGGAGCAGAGGACAAATATTTAAACTTATTGATGATCATTAAGTGGTGCAACTTTGATATTTATTGTAACGGGGAAAGGGGGGCGATTTTCTTTGATATTGTTAAAAATGTTGGTTTTTATTTAGGTTGTGGCGCAATATATTTCATAGAATGGATAGAGCTATGATATATATCTTTATTGCTGGCTCCTACACCCCCTGGCTTCATCTTAAATCTCTGTCTGGGATATCCTCAGAGCTTAGGTAAAATGTATTATATAAACTCTACTGTGTGCTGTGTATAGTGCGTTCTGTAACCTCTACTGTGTACAAAATGTACCTTAACCTTTGTGTGTACGTTGTACAGTGTATTCGAGAACCTCTACTTTGTACAGTGTATTCTAGAACCTGTACTTTGTACGGTGTATTCTACAACCTCTACTTTGTACAGTATATTCTAGAACCTCTACTTTGTACGGTGTATTCTACAACCTCTACTTTGTACAGTGTATTCTAGAACCTGTACTTTGTACAGTGTATTCTAGAACCTGTACTTTGTACAGTGTATTCTAGAACCTCTAGTTTGTACAGTGTATTCTAGAACCTGTACTTTGTACAGTGTATTCCAGAACCTGTACTTTGTACAGTGTATTCTAGAACCTCTACTTTGTACAGTGTATTCTAGAACCTGTATTTTGTACAGTGTATTCTAGAACCTCTACTTTGTACAGTGTATTCTAGAACCTCTACTTTGTACAGTGTATTCTAGAACCTCTACTTTGTACAGTGTATTCTAGAACCTCTATTTTGTACAGTGTGTTCTAGAAACTCTTTTTTGTACAGTGTAATCTAGAACCTCTACTTTGTATAGTGTACAGTTTGTCGTTAAACTCTACATTATACAGTATCAAGCTTTTTATGTATCTCTTTAGGGTGCAATGTGCATTGTGTTTTTTAACCTGTACTTTACGTAGCACAATGTGTTCTGTAAAAACTAAATTGTTCAGTGTACACAGTGCGTTTTCTGACCTTTACTGAGTACGGTGTACAGTGTGTTCTCTAACCTTTACTGACTATGGTGTACCGTGTGTTCTTTAACCTTTACGAAGTACAGTGTACCGTGTGTTCTCTAACCTTTACTGAGTACGGTGTACAGTGTGTTCTCTAATCTTCACTGAGTACGTTGCATAGTCTGTTCTCTAACCTTTATTGTGGACGGTGTACAATGTGTTCTCTGACCTTTACTGTTTACGGTGTACAGTGTGTTCTTTAACCTTTACTGAGTACGGTGTACAGTGTATTCTTTAACCCGTCAGGACATTTGTTGGAAAATGTACTCTAGATTGTGATTGTGTATTTTGCTTAATCAACTACAGTTTTATAGTCTCTACGCAAATCATACTTCTTAAAACTAGTTGTTGCTTGTAAACAAACTTGAAGAAAGAAATGAAAGAGAAAATGAAAGGAAAGATAGTAAAAATGGAAGAACAAAAAAAAAGGAAGAGGAAGAAAGAAGCGAAAGCAAGTAAAAATGGAAGGAAGAAATAAGAAGAGAAAAAATGGAAGAAAGAGAAATAATGGAAGAAAGGAAAAACGGAAAAAAGAAGAAAAGAAAGGAAGAGAGAAATAAAGGAAGAATGGGGAAACATCGTATTTGTTTCCATTTTATTTTTAAGAAGCATTGTATATTTTTAACAAGATGTCTTCATTTACCATATTATTTTGAAGAGTACTGTATATTTATTATATGAAATTTATGATGATTTTCATAAATATTCAGTGCTCCCCCCCAGACATTTTGGTTTATATCATATCCCTGTCCCACGTACTGCACCTAATAATAACAATGATCAGTGCAGTTGATGAAGCTAAATGCACACGTCAGAATCTAGCGTACATTTTCCAGCAAATGTCCTGACGGGTTCTTTAATTTTTACTGAGTACGATGTACAGAATATGTTCTGTAAAATCAGTATTGCAAGGTTAAAATGCAAGGAAAGTTAATTGCAGTTGCGTATACTCAGCGTACATATTGAAACCAGTTCTCTCTGGGCGGATTTTTTAAACAAGAATAGATGCATCAGTGTTTGTTTAGTATCCGAGGAGGCTAAAAGCATTGTATTTTGAAAATTTTGATAATTCACATAATAGTTTCCTATGACCAGAATATTTCATTGATCTTCTATGTGAAAGATGGATCCCATGTCAGGCTTTGACATCCGTTTTGTGTTTACATTACCGCCCAGAGACAGTACAATGTAGTACAAAAGATGCGTACACCTCTAAAATAACTATATATAGTTATATTGTAGATTTTTACTAGATCGTTATAATTCTTATCGTAACGTGTACAGTATTAAATTTTCCCTCGTGGTAATTGTAGAACCGGTATCAGAGGAATTGTACTGAACAATATTTGTGGAATTTTTAGATGGGCTGTTTGGGTGCTAGCAACATTGGGAATACTTTATCAGCAAATTTTTCATGAAATGTACAAGGTATGAATTGCAATCATGAATTGTATAAGGTTTAGGTATGGAATGCAATCATGAAATGTAGAAGGTATGGAATGCAATCATGCAATATTGAAAGTATGGAATGCAATTATGCAATATTGAAGGTATGGAATGCAATCATGCAATATTGAAGGTATGGAATGCAATCCTGCAATATTGAAGGTATGGAGAAATGCAATAATGCAATGTAGAAAGTATGGAATGCAATCATGCAATGTAGAAGGTACGGAAAGCAATCATGAAATATCGAAGGTATGTAATTCAATCATGCAATGTAGAAGTTATGAAATGCAATCATGCTATTTAGAAGGTTTGGAATGCAATCAATAATCATGCATTGTAGAAGGTATGGAGGAATGCAATCATGCAATGTAGAAAGTATGGAATGCAATCATGCATTGTAGAAGGTATGGAATACAATCATGCATTGGGTATGTAATTCAATCATTGCAATGTAGAAGGTATGTAATGCAATCATGCATTAGATATGGATTGCAATTATGGATTGACGAAGGTACGAAATGCAATCTTACATTGTAGAAGGTATGTAATACCATCATGCATTGGGTATGGAATTCAATCATTGCAATGTAAAAGGTATGGAATGCAATCATGCATTGTAGTAGTTATGAAATGCAATCATGCATTGTAGAAGGTATGGAGAAATGCAATCATGCAATATAGAAGGTATGGAATGCAAGCACGCATTGGGTATGGAATGCAATGTACAGGGTAATCAATGATCAACCATGTCATTAAGAATTAACCATTTTAAAGTGTTTTAGATTCTTTCATTTATACTGTTAAACTTTGAATGGTTTTTGTTTTGTGTCTTCATATATTGATTTATGAAACATTATTTTATTCAGGCTTTGGAAACATTTTTTTATGTTGTTATAGCTCTGCTTCCATCATTAGCAGTTTTCGAGATGGTAGGTTTTTTACCCTTATTTCTTTAGTTTTCATTTTATAATTACACTACTAATTTGAATTGATATGTTTTTTGTGGAATTTTTAAAAAACTTTTTTATTCATCTAGGAGTTATGGATTCCAGGTATTTGATAACAAGTAAATATCCCCCCCCCCCCCTCTAAAAACCATTGTTATGTTATGACATCCGCACAAAAAGAATTTCAGGGATTTCCCCATGCATTGAAGAAAATAAATGAAATGCCAGGGTTATATATATGTAAAATGTAAATATATTCATTAATATATATGTATTTATTTATATATATATTCAATTTATTGTGCAATCAAAAAACCAGATAAACATCTTCATACACAATGTTTCATGGACCAATTGTCATGGACCAAGAGTTTTTATCAAACAAATCTTTTGTGCACTTTTGCCATGTAAGCTTGCTTAAACTAAAGTACTTTCATTCATAATTCTCTATTCCTATTTATCTACTTTCAAGAAGAACTGCAAAATGAAAAAGACGCATTTTAAAATCTTTTCATGAGTCCCAGCGATTCTTCTCAAAAAGATAAATTTGACCAATGACTTATCTTTTTGTCCTAATATTGAACTTTTAACTAAACGCTTTACCATTGCTTGACATAATTAAAGGACTATTGACATAATTTAATTCACAACTGCTTGCAACCCTGAATGATAAGTTCTTAGGTCTTCTTACTAAAGGAGGGAGGGGGGCGGGGGGGCAATTTTCCTTATATAGATATGCTATCATGCACTTACACTCAGTTACAAAAAAAATGTGGCGTAAGTTTTAATTTTAAAAGCAGAATTTGGTTTTCTTTAATTCCAGTATTTGAATATTATATGTTAAGTTGTGGGCCGAATGAATTGAATAATATTATCATGTGTACATTAATAGATTTAAAAAATATATAACTTTGGGGAAAATGCACTGCCATTGCATATATATAAACAGGGACTTGCTATGAACTTGTATAGATTAATAAACAACATACAAGGTGTTCATTTTACCAATCTTACAAGTTTAAGGAAATAAAGTTTTTTATTAACCACAGTTACAGAAACTCCTGTAACTACGAATGCTATGAACTATTCACCATGTTAACTTTTAAACCTTAAATAATTAAGATCCATCCTCAATTAAAAAGAAAAACGCATGCCTAGCCTAGTTCAGCTTTAAGACATTTTGGCAAACGCACTTCTAAATGTTTCAATCGTTCAAAATATCAGCAATCTTTTTAAGCGGTAAGGTAGACCTAGGTCCTAGATCTGTTTCTAAACCCAAAAATTGGGATTTTATCAATCCCTTTAAATTAAGTTTTAACTGATGATAAAAGAAAAAATAAATATTCTAAAATAACTTATGAATACAAGACATCGACTGAACCTAAATGCTAATATTATTTGATTATTTGAATGAATTGAATGTTTAGGATGATTCGGGCGGTTTATTCGAGCTAAAGGTGGGAGGAGTTATCTATATGACAGGAGTTGTCTTCTTCAAGGTCAATACAGGGTTACACATTAAGGATATTTACAGGGTTATTCATAAAGGATGGGACTTTTTATCTTAGTTTTGTTAAATCGTAGTTTAGTTTTAAAGAGAGAGACCAGCTCTGTAACATAGTTGAGCTCAAAGTGCAATATTGTAGAAGAAAAACATTAGGATTCATTTGATACCAAAAAGACATTTATTGTGGTGTACAATTTTTAAATACGGCTGTAACGTCGTTTGTAATATTTCGTTTGTTGTTTCAGCCAGGAGAAAAAGACTAACTTTTTTAATAACATGGAAAAAACGTGTAAAAATAACATTTTACAAACTAATGTCATGTATAGGAACAGATTGAGAAAAATAATGAATAATCATTAAAAACGATTTATTAAATTTCATTTTAAAATCTCGCAGGTTTATGCAAATTCTTTCAGATAGGGTCGTTTGTTGTAGGTTTTCTATATTTTAATTGTGAAGACGACATTTTGAAGGAATATGCGAATCATATTGTAGAAACAACAAAGGTTTAGATGATAATGCGATAATCTATAAAATATTTTGTTTTACATGTTTTGTTCGAGTTATTAAATAATTGGAAGAAACGTTTTTTCTGCTGGCTGAAACAACCGGTGACATTATGAAATATTACGAACGATTTTATGCTGTTGTTAAAAAATTGTACACCGTAAAAATGTCTCCTTGGTATCGAATGAATTTTAAAGTTGTTCTCTACAATATTGCATTCTTAGTTCAAATTTGTTACATAGCCGGTCACTCCCTTTAAACCTAGTTTATTTCTCAGAAGCAAGAATCAGACAGAATAATCTCTTTGGAAATTATAACCGGCCATAACCTTTGTGGGTAACCCTGTCGTATTTTTCCAATGAAATTAACATTTACATTGTCCTATTCTCGTACATTGTCTCCCAATTGAAGCAAAAGTTAAAGAAGTTTATTTGTTATAATGCAAAATTGGTCTTCCGTCATAAATAAAGGACAAATGAACCATGTTAAAAAGTTTAGTGTGATGGTGTAGTTCCTTTAGCCCACGCAATCTGGCATGTTCATGTAGTGTTCGGAGCTTTAATTCATTACTATGCTGTCTCCGCCTACCTTATAGGAAACTTATTCAGATTTTGAAAATAATAAATCTAATTTACCAAAATAAGTTTTCATGAACCCCATGTGATCCAAAACAGCGCATAGGATAGGACCTATTGAATCCGCCACTTTTTACCCCCCGGATCCGTATTTACAACATCCAAATTGCCACTTTTCAAGTTAAACATCGAATTGAAACTAATGTACTCTCATAGCACAGGGATTTAGTTTTAACTTTGCTTTTCATTCAATTGTAAATCAAGGTTCTGTATAAAGACGAGTAAAAACATAAAAAAGTTTTTAAACATGTTTTGGTAAATAAAGGGGTGTATATTTTTAAGAATTTCCGCCCAAACATACCAAACTTCTGGGGAAGAAAAAATGATTTTTGAAAGAGGGGGGGGTTAATTTTTAGGAAAATATTCACCCCTGTTAAGGAATTAGCAAAGCTTACAAAAACATTGATGAGATGCAGATCTGGATCCTTTTTTTACAGGATGCTTTTGGATCCGAATAAAAAAATGATCCTTGGAAAGTATATCTTGTATTTGATGAATTTGGCTTTGATTTCAACTCACTTTGTTTTTTCATATTTTTTATGTAAAATGCCTTAAACTGATCTTAATTCTGAATATTAAACTGATCAGTGGAGGAGGTGTAAGAAAAGGTCACAGTTTTATAAATTCGCAGAGAGAAAATCTTCAAAACCACTCGTAGTCCAACATAATTTTAATCCTTAAAGGGACTGTAAGCGTAATTTTAAGTGACCCTCCTAGATACGCACCGGTACCCTTTACAGCTCTGTCTGATCAAGGATGAATTTAATTTGCAAATTATTATTCATTTAAACAGCTCCGTTTCATTTGTGGTTTCTCTGCACAAATGACTCTAATTTTTTGCTTATAAGAAACAATGCAGAAATTCATAGAAATAAACACTTACGGTGTCAGAAAAACGACGTTATCTTCTATATTTCTGACCAGATAAAGTTTTCTAGGGTACCGTTGTGAATTGGGCATTGTTATCTTTGCTTGGAGTGTTACTTAAAACTACGTTTACACTCCAGAAATACGGGAAACTCCACTTATCTCAAGGGTTTCTTGATGCAGCCAAATTTTAGTGAAATTATATGAACTTGTAGAATTAGAAGAACTTGTAATTAATGATAAAGTTACTAAAATTAAATTAATAGAAAAGACATTTTAACCCCAAGTAAACAGTTTCTTCACTGGAAATATAAGATAAAAAATTCATAATACACGTACAATGATACTCTTTCGTGCCCGTCTTGCCATTAAAAAAATTGGCAATGTATTCCAAAATAATACATTAAACATATAAAGAAATAATCTAGTCTATCTTTTTCTGCATTTTTTATAAAGCCATGAAGTTAGTTTTCCTTGATTTATTTTTTGATTTGAATATTTACTTAGATGTTTTAAAAATGTTATTCCTGTGATACCTACAATGCAATTTTTTGTTTATAAATTTTAGAGTGAAAATAGAATTTATTTATTTGTTTTTAAAAAACTCTCTAAAAATTACAAAAACATAGTATGTTACTATTTTGTCATAGTTCCTCGCAATATTATTCTTAGGCTAGAAGGAAGTCCCCCAAAACTCTGATTGATTGATATAGTGATTGATTGATTAGCAGATTGATTGATTGTTAGATTGATTGATAGATTGATTAATTGATAGATTGATAAATTGATTGATAACTGTTCTTTGTATTTCAGGGCTATTTAGTCATCTTTACAGAAAATGTATTGATTAGTTTGCTGTATCATTAAATAATCATTCAATGATTCCAAAGCGATATTTTACCAATTCTTTCGTTGTTCTCGTCAAATATGCGATTTACTGTAGTATACCAGTTAAAGTTTTTAACAGTTACCAACGTTAAAATAAAAGTCGCGAGTAATTCCAAAATGTGGTCTACCATTTGTTTGCCTTCACAACTCACTGAAGACGTTGGGAGATTGGTTTCAATTGGAAATTCTCGGTGATTTAATGATTCAGAGAAGCCCACTTTTGTTGGGATCACTCAAAAATCAAATTCTATTTACAAGTCGTCTCTTAATTCCCATGTTAATTGGGACATCTTGTACTATTTACTAGTAACACAAATCTATCGTGGTCTAATAACCAAATTACACGTATTGAGCAATATTTTATTTTCAGATCATAAATATGTTGTGATAAATTTAAGTCATGCATGCATCTTAGTTTTTACATAAATATTGTCATACAAGTACATTATTAAAGCAATTAAACCATGATCTTAAAAATTGCTTATTCGATTATTCACTTTGCTAATATGTAATAATGGCTGAAGTTTTTGGCGTTCTTTCCCGTGAACATAATTCGAATTTAAAAAAAATAGATGTTGAAAAAAAAACGTTATTTTTTTACCTACAGGGTGCCCATGGGTTTCCTGAAAAGAAAGTCAGCCAATTTGGTTCAGCCGTTGGGCCAGCTATAGCCAACATATATATATATGAGCAAAGAGCTTTATTATATGTATGCAATATGTATAATGCTCTAGTGTTACATAAGAAAACATCAATTCATTTTAAGCGAAATTTATACAATCCATAAAATCGTCAAATGACTTCATTTCTGAAGTTTTTACATCTGCCATAGCTCACAAGCGCATAATTGGTAACAAAAGACAATTTTTTTTGGACTGGGGCAGCTTTGTTCTTCGATTGTACTTTACATAAAAGGGGCAATTAATGATGACTTTTGAAGGGGAAATGATTGAAATTAAGAAAATTGTGTTATTTTTGTATAATCTGATAAACCTAAACCAAGTCTGGTAAATTGAACAAAATGATGTTATTTTTAAGTCGTCTTCATTGGACTCACATTTTAAACTTTATTTTGTGATGAAATCATCACCGCTAAAGCAACAGGCTTATTCAAGTATTCCACAAATGAAAAGGGGTAACCTAATGTCGTCAGTAAATTCCCTTGTTTCATCGTTACTTGTATACTCTCAAAATTGCCTTTGTTTTGATATTTTATCTTTGAGCATTGTTCTGATATATGTTTAAATACGATTCTTCACATTATTTACTCAATAAATGTATTTCTTAAAGCAGCAGGCAACAAGCATATATATTTATAGTTAAGACAATCGTGATGAGTCTAACTGAAGTCGAGAGTGCTTATTTTGGAAAAACATGACATTTTTTCGCAAATTAAAAAATGATAAAACAGATTTTAATCCAATCTGATGAATGGCCATTTTAGAAATGTCATGCTTACTTTGACTCCCGTTAATTTATATGATTATTATATAATATTTTTCTATTTATAATATTTGCTTTCACTACTCATACGTTTTATCTTCTAACAAAACTTTTTTTTTGCCAGGTGTTAAATTAAACATTTTTAACCATTTAAAGATATATTGCACAAATACGCAAGAGAGGTAAGTAGATTTTGTATTTAGTAAAATGATTTTTCCTGTTACTTTTTAATCTACAGTCAACAAAGGTTAGAAAGTGTACGCTCATTGTTTTAACATTTGTATATTACTTACTACTTAAGAGTGTGCAATATATGTTTTATATTTATATATATTAGGGTGTATGTCCCGTAAACTTTTATAAGTAGAAGGCAACTGGGTGGATTGGGAAGTGAACAATGGTTTAAACAATACTGCTGACCGCCAGTAAGCTCTCTTAGAAACAATACTGCTAACAGCCAGCAAGCTGTTCTCTTAGAAGCAAGACTGCTGGCTGCCAGTAAGCTCTCTTAGAAACAAGACTGCTGACCGCCAGCAAGCTGCTCTCTTAGAAGCAAGACTGCTCGCTGCAGTAAGCTGTTCTCTTAGAAACAAGACTGCTGACCGCCAGCAAGTTGTTCTCTTAGAAACAAGACTGCTGACCGCCACTAAGCTCTTCTCTAAGAAGCAAGTCTGCTGACCGCCAGCAAGCAGTTCTCTTAGAAACAATACTGCTGGTCATTTTTTAGTAACAAGTGTGCTTGACCAGCTGCAAGCTGTTTCTCTGGAACAAGACTGCTGACAGGCGGCGAACTGTTTTCTTAAAGGGAGTGTTCGCGAAAAATGAAAGGGGGTGTAGGCTTAATAACAAACAGACTGCTGGTGTAGAGCTCACCAGCAGCCAGCTATCCCTTACGTACAAGACAGACTGCTGGTAGTGAGCTGACCAGCAGCCAGCTATCTCTCACGTAAAAGAATACAGACTGCTGGTGGTGAGCTGACATGCAGCCAACTATCTCTCACGTACAAGACTGCAGACTGCTCGTGTAGAGCTGACCAGCAGCCAGCTATCCCTCTTGAACAAGACTGCAGATTGCTGGTGTTGAGCTGACCAACAGCAGCTATCCCTTACGTACAAGACAAACAGACTGCTGGTAGTGAGCTGACCAGCAGCCAGCTATCTCTCACGTTAAAGACTGCAGACTGCTGATGGTGAGCTGAAAACCAGCCAGCTATCCCTTACGTACAAGACAACAGACTGCTGGTGGTGAGCTGACCAGCAGCCAGCTATCCCTCAAGTACAAGACTACAGACTGCTGATGGTGAGCTGACCAGCAGCCAGCTATCTCTCACGTATAAGACAACGAGACTGCTGGTGGTGAGCTGACCAGCAGCCAGCTATCCCTCAAGTACAAGACTACAGACTGCTGATGGTGAGCTGACCAGCAGCCAGCTATCTCTCACGTACAAGACAACGAGACTGCTGGTGGTGAGCTGACCAGCAGCCAGCTATCCCTCAAGTACAAGACTACAGACTGCTGATGGTGAGCTGACCAGCAGCCATCTATCTCTCACGTATAAGACTACAGACTGTTCCAGCTCAAGCCAAGTTCTCCTCAGACACTCTTAAACATTTATTATATTGCAAAGGAATTGAGTCTTAGTCACAAACTCAAAGTTTCTAATCCTAATAAATTCGCAACCTGATGGTGTAAACTTTTTATATATATAACTTGATAATCTATCCTAGCAGAATGCATAGTTTGAAATATCCAAGGTCTGCGACATCTTTGGGTTGCGAAGAAAGGGGGGATTAGAAAATTAGAGTTTATGGCAAAGACTTACTTCCTGTATAATAACAGAACATTAACTATTTTTAAATATTGAACGGATTGTCGTCTTTTGTGTCATATTTGACGATCATGGCGTCATGAACAGATAGCAGAATCAAATTTGGACCAATTGTATTTATTATCTATTGTGACCAAAATATTATCATGTTATGTATGTGTGATAACAACTATATTTACTCTCCGACCAGACACACAACAAATGTAAACATATTTAGTAAATGTTCTGAGAAATTGAATTAAAAGTTTTAATATGTTTGTTATACTTGGTAATTAGTTTCTTCGTGCATCAAGAGAAAATATGTTTTTGTTTTGTTTCTTCAATTATCCTGGCTTTTAAGGCCGGTGTCGTCAGGTCAGGGGAGTCAGGGTGTCCTATGAAACATGACAGTTGGTGAATAGTTTAAAATTTCTTCTTATATGTCAAGTTGTTTATACCCAAAGAAAATAATTATAGATATTTTATGGCAGTCATATTATTAGTAAAATTGATTTAAGTAAAGTTTTTATAAAATATATTTGAGTAACGTTTTTTTAAACTAAATAAACTGCAAAATAAGTTGTAATATCTAAAACTGCATATGGAAGAAGACATTCAAAACTATTCACCAACTGTTATGTTTCGTGGGACACCCTGTATATTTTTTTGCATTTTCTCCTTCAATAATACATTTTAGAACTTATGTGCATTTATTTATGAAAACTGATAATTTTAAATGTCCAAAAATGTGTTGAATTAATGAAAATTGTCTTTTAACTCCACGCAATTAAAAGTATTTGATTTTGAAAGCCTAGGTAAAATGAAGTATGATTAAGTTCGGTATTAACTGGTACAATTATGACTTTTTAGATAATCAAGTAATATAAAGTAGTAAATAGCACTGTGCTCTAAATCGACCTCGTGTGAACTTTTGGGTCGATTTCGAGCACTGGTGGTACAGACCGTAGCCAGTAGCCAGTAGCCACCAGGTTAAATCATTTCACATTGTTTTAACGAAACTTTTTTAAATTTAAAAAAGCTAACAGATTTAGAAAACAAACAAAAAATCCAGCATTTCAAATGTATTATATGGTTAGATAACCATTCCCATAAACCTGTGGAATGTAAATATGACATTTAAGCAATCTTGTTTAAGCTGTTAAAATGCAAGTAAATTAGCATACATATAAACTTAATCAAATGGGCCTGTTTACACTGCACTTTAGCTATATTTCATATTAATTGGACTAATTGAAATCATTACTTTAGTTGAATAGTTGTCATCTATTCCACAGTTTAATGGAATAATGTATTGTAAAATATATCTATATTCAAAGTATTTTTATTTCTGAAAAAAATATTTTAAATTTGTAATTCATAATTACCCATCGTCTGTTCTAGGTGGTTTACTGGTAGCGATCATTCTAAAATCCTCTAGACTTATTTTACCCGTCAGATCCTGAACATAATAAAAGGGATTGTCAGATCCTGAACATAATAAAGGGACTGTTAGATCCTGAACATAATAAAGGGACTGTTAGATCCTGAACATAATAAAGGGACTGTCAGATCCTGAACATAATAAAGGGACTGTTAGATCATGAACATAATAAAGGGACTGTCAGATCCTGAACATATTAAGGGGACTGTCAGATCCTGAACATAATAAAGGGACTGTCAGATCCTGAACATATTAAAGGGGCTGTCAGATCCTGAACAACTTAAAGGGGCTGTCAGATCATGAATATATTAAAGGGACTGTCAGATCATGAATATATTAAAGGGGCTGTCAGATCATGAATATATTAAAGGAACTGTCCGATTCTGAACCAATTAAAGGGACCGCCAAATCCTGAACATATTAAAGGGACTGTCAGATCCTGAACAACTTAAAGGGACTGCAGATCCTGAACATGTAAAGGGGACTGTCAGACCCTGAACATAATGAAGGTACCGCAGATTCTGAACATATTAAGGGGACGTCAGATCCTGAACATAATAAAGGTACTGCAGATCCTGAACAAATTTAGGGAACTACAGATCCTGAGTATATTAAGGAGACTGTCAGATCCTGAACATACTAAAGGGACTGTCAGATCCTGAACATATTAAAGGGACTGTCATATCCTGAACGTATTAAGGGGCTGTCAGATCATGAACATATTAAGGGATGGTCAGATCATGAACATGATAAAGGTATTGTCAGATCTTAAGTTAATTAAGGGGACTGTCAGATCCTGAACATGTTAAGGGGACTGTCAGATCCTGAACAAATTAAAGGGGCTGTCAGATCTTGAACATATTAAAGAGACTGTCAGATCATGAACATATTAAAGGGGCTGTCAGATCTTGAACAAATTAAAGGGACTGTCAGATTTTTAAAAAATTAAAGGGATTGTCAGATCATGAACATATTAAAGGGACTGTTAGATCCTAAACATATTAAAGGGGCTGTCAGATCATGAACATAGTGAGGGACTGTCAGATTTTGAAAAAATTAAAGGGACTGTCAGATCATGAACATATTAAAGGGACTGTCAGATCCTAAACATATTAAAGGGACTGCAGATCATGAACATATTAAAGGACTGTCAGATCTTGAACATATTGAGGGACTGTCAAAACATGAAAATGATTAGGGACTGTCAGATCTTGAACAAATTAAAGGGACTGTCACTGTTAGATCCTTGGATCTGCAGAATTATAATGATCCTTGGAGCCAAATTGTGGCTTATTTCATGGATCAGGAACATAAAGCACTGCAAACCAAGATCTTTCAAGCAAAAGTCGATCAGTAACTTTCTAATTACTTAAGGGAGAAACAATCAATTAGAATTTTTAAAATGTAGTGAATATGCCTAGGGCCACAAAAAAGTATTACTATTTTTGTGAGTTAAACCCAAAGACCAAAAAGCGTTCCGACGCTTGAAATTTGAGGCCTTCTAAAAGTTTGATGTGAGAAGTCCAATAGATAGATTTTGTTTCAAAAGAAAATCTGGATTTCACAATGTCTAAAATTTACCTAACTATATTTATGGGAATATATGGTTGCTGATGAATTTTGATATTATCTTAGTATTCTTAAAGATAAAAAATATATTTATGATACTAATAAAATAATAATGATTAATTACTTGGTCACATGCTACAAATATCCTTTCTGCTTGATCAGGGTCCATCTTGACCGCAAGCTGAAATTTAAAAAACTTGTTAATATCGTTAAAAGAAAGGTTAGCGTAATTTGAAGTGATATATTTCTGAAGAAAATTAACAGTATAAATAATAACAATAACAATAACATGTATAACAACTGTACGGTGGTACCCATGGGGTATGAAACTTTAAACTGATCAATAATGTGAAAGATAACTTCGTTTTTTTAGATTGATAATTGTTAACTTCTGATAATTTTTCTATAGTTTGTATAGTAGAAATGTGCAAGTCACTTTTGTGAGCAAACCACAACGGAAATTATTCAAAATTAAAAACATGGCCTGATATAATTTAATTCATGCTTAATCACACAAAACTTTGAAGGGTTCCGCTGTGAATCGGTTATTATACTCTATAAATAAAGGGTCACTTGAGCAGATAAGGAAAGTAGAAAATTTTGTAATTTTTGCATGATTTTGAATATAGAAAATAAGTGAAAACAAGGCATTTAGAATTTTAATGTCAAATAAATTAATGAAATTAGCAAATCTGTCTACACTCCAAACCAAATATTTAGATCAGCTGATTGTAAAAAACTCCAAACAAATATTTAGATCAGCTTGTATAAAACTTCAAACCAAATATTTAGATCAGCTAGTTGTATGAAACTCCAAACCAAATATGGAGATAAGCTAATTGTATAAACTCACAATCCAATTATTGAGATAACTTGATTGTATTCACTCCAAAAACCAAGTAATAAGAACAGGTTATGGAGTAAACTCCGAACGAAATATTAAAAACAGCTGATTGTATGAACTCCAAACCAAATAATTAACATGCAGCTGATTGTAAAAACTCCAAACCATATATTTAAAACAGCCATGGTTGTATACCTGCTGGAACTCTTCCCAAGAAAGGAACCCATCCCCGTCTATATCTAACTTCCGGAAAGCAGTTTCAATCTAAACCAAAGATAAAAATGGAAATGAATGGATCCTAGATGCATTTATTATTCCCCTAAAACGTATTGACATCTTCTGCAATATTGCAAATATTACGGTTATGCTTTCCTTCCTCAGGATAAAAAAGAACACAGTGATCCAAACTGTGCAATTGCTAATAAGCAAAGATTTATCAGAATTTTTGTCAACTTTAAACTAAAGTTAAAAAACGCATTATAGTTTTAAATGTACATGTTTAGGGCTATGCGGAAATAAAAGTAAGTATAGTTAATTGATGCGAAATTTTTGTGCTCTCTGGATTTCTGTGAAATATATTTCCTGGCCTTGATTTCAGAATTTGTTCTTTTCTCTGGCTAATTTGAGATTTTAGATTAGATTTAAAGACAGGGTTACCAACAATAGATGAGAATGTAAAGACGACTTGAAACTTTCCAAATATGATATTTCTAGGTTTTAATGAAGTCTTCTACCTTGCATGGCTTATTTAAGTCTATTTTAGCCTTTTAAACCTGTACAATTTTTATTTGTTTTTATTTCATGGATCATACCTAATTTTCTTGCTAGCTTTAGATTTGAAAACGTTTTTAAAAACATGTATTTGTTTGTAGCAAGTTTTCGTGGTCTATCTCATTCAATATATCATTCGGCATTCAATATATTATTCAATATATCATTCATCATTCAATATATCATTCAGCATTCAATATATCATTCAGCATTCAATATATCATTCAGTATTCAATATATCATTCAGTATTCAATATATCATTCGGCATTCAATATATCATTTAGCATTCAATAAATCATTCAGCATTCAATATATCATTCAGCATTCAACATTTCATTCAGCATTCCATATATCATTCAGCATTCAATATATCATTCAGTATTCAATATATCATTCAGCATTCAACATTTCATTCAGCATTCCATATATCATTCAGCATTCAATATATCATTCAGCATTCCAATTCCTATTGAATGAAAGTCATAAATTTGTTTTAGCCTATATGTTGTAGTTTTTATTTCAGTAATTTTTATTGATATTTATTCGTTATTTGGTAATTTTTTCTGGGCATATCCGATCAAACGTTTTTTACTAAAATTTTGTCTACAGGTTTATCCTCAATACTCTTGTTTACCTTGTCTACAGGTTTATCCTCAATACTCTTGTTTACCTTGTCTACAGGTTTATCCTCAATACTCTTTTTGTCTACAGGTTTATCCTCAATACTCTTGTTTACCTTGTCTACAGGTTTATCCTCAATACTCTTTTTTACCTTGTCTACAGGTTTATCCTCAATATTCTTGTTTACCTTGTCTACTGGTTTATCCTCAATAATCTTGTTACCTTGTCTACAGGTTTATCCTCAATAATCTTATTTACCTTGTCTACAGGTTTATCCTTAACATTCTTGTTTACCTTGTCTACAGGTTTATCCCTAATAATCTTGTTTACCTTGTCTACAGGTTTATTCCTAATAATCTTGTTTACCTTGTCTACAGGTTTATCCTTAATAATCTTATTTACCTTGTCTACAGGTTTATCCTCTTCTGCATCTCCTCCACAGCAGCATAATAAACCCTTAACATATTCTTTAATGGTAGCAATTCATGTTGTTGTAATGATGTTTGTTTACAGAGAAGTTATTGTAATGCTATTTGTTAAACAGCAGTTGTTGTAATGGTTATTGCAAATGTTGCTTTTGTTTTAAAGGTTTATTGTTGTGGCATATGCTGCTGTCATAAAGTTATATGGTATGCTGTAATAAAGGTTTATTGTGTGGTATATGCTGTTAATATAAAGGTATATTGTGTGGTATATGCTGTTAATATAAAGGTTTATTGTGTGGTATATTCTGTTAATATAAAGGTATATTGTGTGGTATATGCTGTTAATATAAAGGTATATTGTATGGTGTATGCTGTTAATATAAAGGTATATTGTATGGTGTATGCTGTTAATATAAAGGTATATTGTATGGTATATTCTGTTAATAGAAAGGTATATTGTATGGTATATGCTGTTAATAGAAAGGTATATTGTGTGGTATATTCTGTTAATATAAAGGTATATTGTGTGGTATATTCTGTTAATATAAAGGTTTTTTGTGTGGTATATGCTGTTAATATAAAGGTATATTGTGTGGTATATTCTGTTAATATAAAGGTATATTGTGTGGTATATGCTGTTAATATAAAGGTATATTGTATGGTGTATGCTGTTAATATAAAGGTATATTGTATGGTATATTCTGTTACTATAAAGGTATATTGTGTGGTATATGCTGCTGTTGTAAAGGTATATTGTGTGGTATATGCTGCTGTTGTAAAGGTATATTGTATGGTGTATGCTGTTAATATAAAGGTATATTGTATGGTATATTCTGTTACTATAAAGGTTTATTGTGTGGTATATGCTGCTGCTGCTACCTGTCCTCCCTGTTGTGATCTTCGTTTACTAGGAGTTGATGGAGCTTTTCGAGATTTTAAAGATGGAAGAATGGTTTTGTCGCCCATCAAATCAAAATCTACAAAATAAAATTTTCTTTAAAAAATGAATAGTTAAACATATGCTTTATTTAGTATCTCGTTGTACCTATATTTGTGAAATATTCCCTCCCCCCCCATTCTCCCCATAGTTTTTTCTAAAGAACTTAAAACCGGCTTCACTTTTTCAACATCATAGTTGTGAACAAATTTTGTCAAAATCTTGTTTTGAAGGGCATAGGGTAGGGCGGAGGACGTTCAAACAGCGGACAGGGTTAAAATTTATATATTTGAAAAGCCCTTAATTAATATTTGTCAAAAGTAAAAAAATAATTTTTAAACATCTGACACACTTTTAGAACTTTGTTAAGATCCTCCCTATCACTCTAACCATTGAAGATTTTTTAATGAGCAAGTCTTGAAAAGTTGGACTTGGGAAATGTATCACACTCCCATATCTCAACTCTAAGGGTAAAATCATAAACAATCTATTTTAGACAAAAATGGCCCAAAAAACCTTTGTAATATCAAGGATAACGGAAAAATGTAATTATTCAGTAAGAAATTGAGTTTTTGCCACTAACTTTGATTTTCTAATTTCAATATCATTGTAACCCGATGTCGTGAACCTTTGATATTTTAAACTATGAATGCTGTTAGATTAAATAATTTAAGTTTGAAATATTAAATGTTTACATCATCAGGTTGAAAAGATATAATGATTACAAAAGTTGTATTTGTGGCAAAGACTCGATTTTTATTTAAAATGAAGTACAGCCAATTCATGAACTTGTCAGAATTAACCACTTTGCAAGTTAGGAAACTTTTATTGTTTTTCTTTTTATCAGAAATAAAACCATGTTTTTTCTTGTACTTCGTCTGGAATGTTTACAACTGTGATAATTTAACAATTTATAAGCAGCTAGTGGAACCAAATATCTGGATATGTATATTGTATACAAACAGAGATCTCAAGAAAATACAGGGTGACTGGTAAAATATTCTATACAGATATCTCAAGAATATACAGGGTGACTTGTAAAATATTGTATACAGAGATAAGAATATACAGGGTGACTGATAAAATATTCTAGAATTATTTAGAAAATTCTCCTTGATCATTAGGCAAATCCTTTGGAGATATAAATGCACTTGGTAAAATATATAGGTAGCCACTAGCTGCATGTATGCCTGGTCTGGTTAGGTAGCCACATGTATGCCTGGTCTGGTTAGGTAGCCACTAGCTGCATGTATGCCTGGTCTGGTTAGGTAGCCACTAGCTGCATGTATGCCTGGTCTGGTTAGGTAGCCACTAGCTGCATGTATGCCTGGTCTGGTGACAAGTACATAGTTGTAGAGTTGTATACAAACAATTGTAAAGATACTGATCATAGTGTATAGTATTAACCCCCGTATTGTCCCACTATTAACCATAAAGGATTAATTCCAAGCTAAAGCTCAAGCTTCTAAGGGAATATTCGGTGGCTCTATTAACTAAACATGAAATGACAAGCGTCATGAATGAAGTACTTTGCAAATTATTTAATAAGATATATTCTAACTTGAAGTCTTCTTTTATATTTAAAAGCTCGTTTACAAATATTAATTGTAAAATATTCAAAATTAGGAAAATAATTAAAAAATGTTTAATAAAACATGACATGTTTCAAAGCCCTTGGCCTCTTAACCATGATCATTGACCATGCCACCCTAAATATTATATGTAGAAGCTCGATTAATAACCTAAATATATGAAGAAGTCCGGTTAATAACCTAAATATACGTAGAAGCCTGGTTAATAACCTAAATATACGTAGAAACCCGGTTAATAACCTAAATATATGTAGAAGCCCGGTTAATAACCTAAATATACCTAGAACCCCCGGTTAATAACCTAAATATATGTAAGACCACAGGGAAGGTTTATGAATGATCAAAATTTCAAATATTTGTCTCCATCAAAATTCGATCTTCATTAAATTTTTGAAAATTTAGAAAATCCACGAAATATTTTGTGAAAATCCGCGAATTATTTTTGTTTTGTTTTACGATGTACACAAAGAGAAAATGTTCACGATTGATTTAGGAGATGGTCGCGAAGCGCCCTTTAAGGCTAGTAACCTAAATATACGTGGAAGCCCGGTTAATAACCTAAATATACGTAGAAGCCCGGTACTTTAATAACCTAAAGCTTAAATTGTTGTGAATTCACATTGAATGAGTGTTTCTAGAAAAAAAGGGCCCAACATGTTAGCAATCTGCTTCTTTTTGTCAATTTTTTTTAAAGATTTAAAAATTGTGAAACAACAAAAAATAGTTTAGAATTGAAAAATTATAAAGGCCAGTTCTAGGCCGAAAGTATGGGTATGAGTTTTTAAGAAAAGTCAGAAAAGTTAAACATCCGCAGCCCCAATGATTCTACGTTATTAATGTGTTCGTTTCATCTGTTCCGTACTTACCCAGCAGTTTAAGATCTGTTGCCAGCTTAACAAAATCAGGTTTGGAAATTTCTTCATTTTCATCCAGATATTTCTTAATCGTATTTTCATCGATTTCAACCTAAACATTTAGCATTCTTAGAAGTATATTAAATACAAGCTAGAGTTACCAGGGTTGCAATTTGGTCCAGCCTTTCGGTCAACTATATAATCCTCGTTTACTTGTAGTAAATACCATACTCCAGAACTGTTTCTCTAACACGTATCTATCCAGGCACAGTTCAGTTTCACTCAGCTATCAATGTTTAAACCCGGATACAATCCCATAACTTTCGATCCCAAATCAAAGGTGACGAACCTCAACCTGTTTATCAAAACAGGGAACCACACGGATACAATCTCTTGATCTATCAATGCCACTACAACTGGGTGCGATCTCTTCAAGGAACTGTCAAGGTAATTTCACGTAAATCCCCCTGACCCTTAATTTTTAGAATGATTTCGAAAAACATCCCTTTAACATATCTCACCTCGTATACAATCCCTTTATAAACATAACTCACCTCGTATACAATCCCTTTATAAACATATCTCACCTTGTACACAATCCCTTTATAAGCACATCTCACCTTGTATACAATCCCTTTATAAACATAACTCACCTCGTTTACAATCCCTTTATAAACATATCTCACCTCGTATACAATCCCTTTATAAACATATCTCACCTCATATACAATCCCTTTATAAACATATCTCATCTCATATACAATATCCCTTTATAAACATATCTCACCTCGTATACTATCCCTTTATAAACATATCTCACCTCGTATATTCTAAATATTTCTTGAACTTGCTCGAATGTGATGTGAGCATTCTGATTTTTGTCTCTATCCTACAATCAAAATAATTAATAAAACAATTTTATTTCAGTTTAATTTCTATGTATCTTTTTTAAGCTATTTTCTAATATTCTCTTAATGAACCCAAATCAAACAGTTCATGAGAATTGAGGATCGGAAAGGGGTTAGGACTGAACGATTGCCCCCCCCCCCATCTCTTAATTCTGTCCTCTGCATGAACTTTGTGTGCCTTAAAAACTAAATGTTTAAATGCAAAGGTTAAAAATAAAGTTACTGAAACACTAGATTAAACCAGTGTAATCCGCTTGCACAGCTTTATTAATTATTAAATTTAGACAATACTGACCAAATACACTATATACACTAGAATATACAAATACACACTCTACACTCTACACTCTACACTCTACACTCTACACTCTACACTCTACACTCTACACTCTACACTCTACACTCTACACTCTACACTCTACACTCTACACTCTACACTCTACACTCTACACTCTACACTCTACACTCTACACTCTACACTCTACACTCTACACTCTACACTCTACACTCTACACTCTACACTNAAGGGGATAAGGTGGAACGGAGGATTAAATGACATGTTTGGGAGGGGGGAGGGGGGCAGCGTTGTAGATTTTGTTGTATTAATTTGATTTACCGGATATTTTGCAACTTTAAATTTTAGAACCATTCTTTCATAAATTATAGAACTTATTTTAAAAAACGTTAGGTATTGTATTGGTATTGAAAGAATATATTTACAGTGGTGCAACTTTGCAAGTATAATATTATAATTCTATATGACAGTGGTCCTTGTAAAGTATACAGTGCCACTTAATTTGTGATTTGTTATCCGTGTTAGAAATCGTTAAATATATATTATGTAAGAGCTGCAACCATTAATTTATGTAAATATTATATAAACCATTATCAAATAATTGTACAAATGTCATTAATAAAAATCAACCTGCATTTGATTCAAGTCTTGAAATATGTCTTGTTAATAAAAGAGATTACAAACAATGAGACCCATACAATTGTGAAACAGGAGGACGACTTTTAGACTCAAGTTATAATATTAAATAGTCGTATTAGCATAAAACACAGTCTTTTATACATTTTAAACACTTAATTCATTAAACAAGATGATTTTCAATCTACTAATCATACTATTAGCTTTGAAAAAACATCAAAAACATACAGGTTTTCTTAATGTCGTCTTCCGGTATTCTACTGTTGTATCATTAAGGTTACCTGTAGTTATTAAAGTTACCTGGATTTATATATTTTAAAGTTAATTATAAAAAAATATTTGCCTTTGAGAAAATGCACAGCTATAGCTACGCATGAAGTAAGTTTTAGCGCAATGATGCGCAAAATGTATATTTTTCTCTTCTGATATCCATAAGAACAGAGACAATGAAAAATGATTTCTTCGTCCTGCCTATACGTTTTCTTGTTTTGGCAAACAACAAGATGAATTTTATATTTGTACACAGCTGAAAACTTTAGAATGGGATATCCTTAATCCCGATCTGTTAATTAATCTGAAGATTAAATTCCTGAGGAGAACAAGCCATATTTAATCTGGAGATTAAGCAAAAGAGTGGATCAAGCATTAATCCCGATATCCACCATTCTAAAGTTCCCAGCTCAGATAAGTTAGCCAGCTACAGAGAAGGTTTTGCGCTATTATTGCGCAATTGCGTATTGGAAACCCTACCTGGAACTATTAAAGTTTATTGGAATTATTAAAGTTTATTGGTATGATTAAAGTTTACTGGAATTATTAATGTTTACTAGAATTATTAAAGTTTACTGGAATTATTAAAGTTTACTGGAATTATTAAAGTTTACTGGAATTATTAAAGTTTACCTGGAATTATTTAAGTTTACTGGAATTATTAAAGTTTACTGGAATTATTAATGTTTACTGGAATTATTAAAGTTTAAACTGGAATTATTAATGTTTACTGGAATTATTAAAGTTCACTGGAATTATTAAAGTTTACTGGAATTACTAAAGTTTACCTGGAATTATTAAAGTTTACTTAAATTATTAAAGTTACCTGGAAGATTTCTTCAAGCTTAGCATTTCTCCTCGCCTCCTTACGTTGTCTTACAACTCTGAACGCCATCTTTCGGTAGATTCAGACACTAATCTAAATAGAGCTTTCTCAAATACTATTATGGCCATCTAGGCTCTAGAGAGCAAGTTTTTATAGAAATTGGTAGCCTTTACGGAATTAAATTTTAAGCCCTATTTTTCCTTGCAAGTGCAAGATTATTTTTTCATGTTAGAGAATAAAAATACATGTCGATTGCCGAAAGCTTATTTTTTTCTTATTTTCCTAAATTTTTGAATCCTTCATCGTTTTTTTTTATAAATTGCAAACCCTGTGGCTGATAAGATTGTCAAATAAAAGTAAATTTCACGTTGAAATAATATATAAACTCCACTTAAAAAATCTCTTACTAGTGCGCAAAATTAGAGCTGCAAGGTCACAAAGTCGGACCAGTGATGTCTCATAAATTTGAGCTTCTCCTTCTGTTTGGTGTAGAGTATGGTTCAAACATTGAGAATGCAAAGTGCTACTTTGTCCGCGAATGATAGTTTCTTGTTTTCAAGAATGAATATTATGAGCTCTATAATGTTTTCTCTAAACACACTTAGCAATAATCTATGTTGAGACAACAGCACAGTGCGTAAATAAGGGGGGGGGGTCAATATGAAGAGCAGTTCCTTTAATGATATGATGTAAGCATCTCCTTTCATTATGAATAGCAGTCCCTTTAATAACAAAAGACCGTTTACTCATCAAATCAACTCTAAATCATTTTATATCTGAAATATTAGAAAATAATAAAAGGTGAATGTAGTATTAGAAGGATGAATAGAATGAGTAGGATGATTAGGATGAGAAGGATGAGAAGGATGAGAAGGATGAGTAGGATGAGTAGGATGAGTAGGATGAGTAGGATAAGAAGGATGAGAAGGATAAGTAGGATGAGTAGGATGAGAAGGATGAGAATTGGATGAGTAGGATTACTAGGATGAACAGGATGAGTGGGATGAGTAGAATATTTAAAAATAATACAAGGAGGATGAGTAGGATGATTAGGATGAGTATAGTTTAGGATTAATAGAATAAGTAGGATGAGTAGGATAAATAGTATGAGTAGGATGAGTAGTATGAGTAGGATGAGTAGGATTAGAAGGATGAGTAGGATGAGTAGGATGAGTATGAGAAGGATGAGAAGGATGAGAAGGATGAGTAGGATGAGTAGGATGAGTAGGATGAGTAGGATAAGTAGTATGAATAGGATGAGTAGGATGAGTAGGATGATTAGGATGAGTATAGTTTAGGATGAATAGAATAATTAGGATGAGTAGGATGCGTAGGATTAGGAGGATGAGTAGGATGAACAGGATTAGCAGGATGAGGAGAATACGAGCAGAGTTGAATACAAATGATGAACACTACTTGAACTAAACTTGTTTTTGTGGAATAAATTATTTAAATTTCACGATAAAATTTATGACGAAAAACAAGAAAATTCAATTCAGAAAATTTGAAGAAATATTTTAAGTAAAATATTTACATTTTATTAAACAAAAAGAAAGTTGTGGTGACATATCAAAGAAACGAAGCTACGATGGTAGCTTGGTCCGTTGTCTACATGTATCCATAAATAATAATAAGTGCAAAGTTTATTTGATTAAAACATGTTAATCATAGATTAATTATAATGCCTTAGGGTTATTGTGAACGAGTTTCATTCAAATTTTGAAAAGACGACATCTAGTGTTCTTTCTGTTATTTTAATTAATCTATGATGGTAGCAACCGTATTTACAGTGGTGGAAATATATTGGAACGGGAATCCCGGACAGCCACAGAACTAAGATTAGAATATGAGGGAATCAAGCCTATCCCTCAGTATGAATTTGTTCAGTCCCTTTGAGCTTGAAAAGAATTTCAAAGTATACAATTAATGTGAATGTTCACAAATTATAATTATCAAATGATCCTTTCATAAGAATTTTGTTATTTTTATAAAGTTTATGCTGAAATGTACTCAGAAATGTAAANTACTCGGGAATATAAAGTAAAGCTTATGCTGAAATGTACTCGGGAATGTAAAGTAAAGTTTATGCTGAAATGAGCTCGGGAATGTAAAGTAAAGTTTATGCTGAAATGTACTCGGGAATATAAAGTAAAGTTTATGCTGAAATGTACTCGGGAATATAATGTAAAGTTTATGCTGAAATGTACTCGGGAATGTAAAGTAAAGCTTATGCTGAAATATACTCGGGAATATAAAGTAAAGCTTATGCTGAAATGTACTCGGGAATGTAAAGTAAAGTTTATGCTGAAATGAGCTCGGGAATATAAAGTAAAGTTTATGCTGAAATGTACTCGGGAATGTAAAGTAATAAAGCTTATGCTGAAATGTACTCGGAATATAAAGTAAAGCTCATGCTGAAATGAGCTCAGGAATATAAAGTAAAGCTTATGCTGAAATGTACTCGGGAATGTAAAGTAATGAAGCTTATGCTGAAATGTACTCGGGAATGTAAAGTAAAGCTTATGCTGAAATGAGCTCGGGAATGTAAAGTAAAGTTTATTCTGAAATGTACTCAGGAATGTATGACATTGACAGGTAGTCAGAGAATTGATTTAGAGATAATTAAGTAAAATTAAATTTTTTTTCTATAATAAAACTGCCCCTAAGTGACTATTTTGAGGGGTAAAATCAGTTTTGTTTAGTCTAAAATTTAGCTGAAATTAAGAAATTATGGATGGTATCTATCAGAAACTGTTATTCAATATATGTCGTTACCTAATACTTTTGGTTCGAGGAGAAAATCTCGGCTATCCTTTTGTGAGTGGCCGGGATGTAAATGTTGGAATTGCAGATATAGAAGAAGAGAATTTATTTTACAATCCCTATATACTTTATAGGAAGGTCATTTTAGTTTAATACACTTGTATTCGGGTCTGTTAAGCTTATAATAAACCTTATAATTTAAATAGTTTTGCCTCAAATACCATTGCGCGCGCAGAAATATGCAAAAGGATTTTCGATTTTAGGACTGGCACAGCTATATGCGAAAGGATTTCCAGAGTAAACGCCATAGTATCGTTTTATAGGATATGCAGAAAAAGTGATAACATCTACGAATAAGGAACTGTCGAAGAGTTTTACGTCATTAAGAAGTTGTTTGGTTTTTTGAAAGATGCGAGTCAAATTAAACACCAATCTTTAATGCAATAATAATACATACATATTATTATTTAATAATGTTTTTACTCCCCCTTCCTGTTAACTACCCCCCATNTTCTATACTCATTACTTATATGACATATATACAGCAACCGCTGCAAGTTTTGCATACAATTCCTGATTTTAATCAATAACCCTCAATCAAATCTACAATACCTAACTCTTTAAACAACACGTTGGTAACATCACATTGACCAACGTTTTAAATCTTCCTAGCAGTTTTTGAACTAATCCCTTTTTTGTTAGAATCACATACGTAGTGCAAAAGCACGGGCAGCCGTAGTAAATTTCCGAGCCGGGTCAACCTTTCCGGTCCAAGTTTGTACTGTACCTAGCTCTAGTATGGACAGGACAAGCCGGTGCAACAAGGTTGACGCGGTCAGACTTTATGCTTCATATAGGTTGATTTACTTTTACTAAAGGGGCAGATTTGCGTGAAAGCCAAGTTTGTTTTTCTGTTTTAAAATTAAAAAGGAAATAGAGGAATCCCAGAATCCATAAGTTTCAAGCTCTCATGCACGCAAATTAACGTGAATTTTTAAAAACTGTAGCTTTAACAACTAATCTATAGTTATAAAATTTTACAATGCGTTACGCCACTTTAAAGTCAATCCAGTCTTGGTTTATTTTTGCAAAATTGCATATCAGTCTGTATCTATGTGGAGTTATCAGGTCTGAATGTTATACCAATAATTCCACATAAAAATAACGGTGTGCAGTGCTTTGAAAGAAAACATTTTGCAAATTCGTGAAATTTCCGACCTTATTTAGAACAATTCTTTGAACATATTTACACAAACTAATTTTACAAGACGGAGAGTTTAATATCATTAAATCTTTCAAATTTGATTATTATCACTTGTTTATTTGTATAAAAAATAGTTGCATGATTTTAATAATATTTATTTGGTTGTTTTAAGAAATGGAAACAAAATGAGTTTTGAATTGGAATATGCTGAACATTTTCTTGGAATTAACAAAACAATTTCTGTAACCGATGTTTAAAACATGCAAAGGAAAGAATATAATCCCCACACCTCAAAAGACTAGGTCCCATCTTCTGACGCAACCCCCCCCCCCC